TATATTCTGACATATCTTCTGGCATTCTATCTGACATATCTTCTGGCATTCTATCTGGCATATCTTCTGGCATATATTCTGACATATCTTCTGGCATATCTTCTGGCATTCTATCTGGCAAATCTTCTGGCATTCTATCTGGCATATCTTCTGGCATTCTATCTGACATATCTTCTGGCATTCTACATATCTTCTGGCATTCTATCTGGCATTCTATCTGGCATATCTTCTGGCATTCTATCTGGCATATCTTCTGGCATTCTATCTGAGGTCCGGCAGTGCCCACTGGGATCTGGAGCTCGCGGTTGAGGTCCGGCAGTGCCCACTGCGATCTGGAAGTCGCGGTTGAGGTCCGGCAGTGCCCACTGCGATCTGGAAGTCGCGGTTGAGGTCCGGCAGTGCCCACTGGGATCTGGAGCTCGCGGTGGAGGTCCGGCAGTGCCCACTGGGATCTGGAGCTCGCGGTGGAGGTCCGGCAGTGCCCACTGGGATCTGGCGCTCGCGGTGGAGGTCCGGCTGTGCCCACTGGGATCTGGACTGCGAGGAGGAGGAGGCGGAGGAGGTGGAGGAGGCGGATGCGGAGGCGGAGGAGGAGGAGGAGGAGGAGAACAGCTCTGATAAAATCTAACAACCCTCACCTGGCAGGTGGGGAAAAAAAAACCTTATCCAGGGATTTATCAACCCCTTGAAATGTGAATAATATTTTTTAAAACATATGAAACATTTCCAGTTGAAATCACGAGCGCGCATGCGCGCGAGCATTTAACACATGCGCGCGCGAGGTGCGCGAGCAAAGACAGGCGCGCGCGCGAGACGCGCGAGCAAAGACAGGCGCGCGCGCGCGAGGTGCGCGAGCAAGGCGCACGAGCACTGCAGGCGCGTTGGTCAGCACGCGCGTGCGTGCGCGCGCGTACTTTGGACACGCGCGCGCGCAAATAAGCTCACATAAGCTCTCCGCGCGCGCAAATAAGCTCTCCAAAAGTGGATTTGGTGAGCTTATTTGCGCGCGCGCGCGTCCGAAGTGCGCGCGCGTATGCGTGCTGACCAGCGCGCGCACAGTGCTCGCGCGCCTTGCTCCCGCACCTCGCGCGCGCGCGCCTGTCTTTGCTCGCGCACCTCGCGCGCGCACGTGTTAAATGCTCGCGCGCTCGCGCTGCGCACCCCGCAGCTGGTGAGGCACCATATATGAACTCATATGTTTTGAATCAAGCCAATGAATAATCAATATATAACCCCGTTAGATCATTTAACACCCTTCCCTTTCGATGACCATTCCCCCAGGCTGTTCTTGATCCTCATCAGAGCTCGTCAGGCCATTGCCCTCGCTGGGCACATCGTCATCTGGGCCGATGGTTGCAGCGGTTGCAGCGGTTGCAGCGGTTGCAGCGGTTGCGGTGTCATCAAATCATGCTTTCGGACGCTTAAAGTCCTCGGTTTTACGGCTTCTCATGATGGTCAAAATCTGATTTAGAGGGTTTATGATGGTTCAGTTATTTCTATTCACCATACCACTCATAGGGATTTATCATCGAATTTAAATGGACCATCTATACATATCTATACCGCAGCATAGCAAATGATGAAAGTGCCAAATCATGGTAAATCATGCTGAACCTTAATCTTTTCTTCTGGCTAAAGTCGGCTTTTTTACCCCTCAAATCCCATGGTTTATCATCATTTTCCCTAAGAGAACGGCCACAAATGGAAGCAAATCCTCCCGTGTATTCCACACAAAAAATGTCATTCTCTATGTCAATCCATGTTTTGAGGTTGGTCATTTTGACACGTGGCCCAATTCTTGTCAGACAAAGCAATGGCGCCACTCCAGGACTGTAGCCAAATGAGCTTCTAGAAGCTCTAAATATATGGCTGTCCACAAGATTTTGGCACACCAAAATGAGCCATGAACCCAAGATATCCCAAGATTCACCAGTTTTTATCTTCCCAGTATTCCATATCCTCACCCGTTAGAAGAGAGATGATTCAGGCTCTCTGGGATGGTTCCCGAGGCCATGGGGCCATGGGGCCATGGTGCGGTCGCCACTTAGAAGTTTTGTTGTTTAACTGATATAAAACTGATATAAAACTGATATAAAACTGATATAACTAGATCATGTTCCCCAATAATCTCCTGAAACAACTGGTCTATCTGAGTCTATCTATGTGGAGGGTGCTACAAATCATGCAGGGCTAGTGTTAAAGATGCTGAGCGTCCCAGGCCGTCGCAAACATCTTCACAGACTTCCGGTAACATGGCGCAATCGTCACCTTTTCTCTCTGGGGGGCAACTCGTAAACTTCTTAAACCACAAGTTTAACATGGGAAGTTAGCAAAAAGACCGGGAGTTTGAATACAAACAACAGGAAGGTTTACCTACAATATATGTATCTTTACATATATATATATATATGACAGAGTATGTTACCTATTTGTAGCTAACCTGTATCTATATACATACCTATATATAATCTATATCTATCTATCTATCTATCTAACTATCTATCTATCTATCTATCTATTGACAGTGAACCTCTGGATTTCACCAAGAGAAAGGTACCAAGGTAGATACTACCGGGACACTGCCAGCTCAGAAGATCACCAATGATCACCCCAACCATCAACCAATAGCAAGTAGATACTACTATTACTACTGTGGATGGTTGCGAAATCCATAGAAATCCTGCATCGCCTAACGGATGGTTGAAAGCCTATAAATAATGGGATGTTTACCACCTATCAACTGGTGCAGGATTTCGCAACCATCCACCGTATCACATGCCTTTGTTGTCAGAACGGACTAGAATTTCCGGTTCGTTGAATCGCCAGGGCGAGAAAGTTGGTGACATCTGTATATAATTTTTCCTTGCTGGCGAAGTCATGTCAAATCCTCATGTTCGATATTCCAATACAAGGATTTCTGGTTAAAACCATATCTTTGTTCGCGAAATTCTCGCTTCGACAGCCGAAAATCCAGGTGGTTGAAACGGTAAAAAATGCTCACTTGGGGCCCCCGTTTACGATAGCTAAGTTGGCGCCATTAACTCCAATTTCACTGTGTTTTGTAGGTGATATATCTATCATCTATATCTATACCTATATCTATATCTATATCTATATTTATATATATATATATATCCGCCGACCCCTGCCTAGCCTTGGCCTAGGCGGGGCGGCGCCCGGGATCACCGTAGGTGTGCGGCATGGCCCTGTGCCTGCTTTGTGCTTTGCCATGGTACCTCCCGACGCCCCACAAGCTGTTTCTATTTGGCTTCGAAACTGCTACGTGGCACGTTTTGGGCACCCCTTAACAGCTTTCGAAGGCGTCCCGCTTGCTTTGCCATGGTACCTCCCGATATTGGGCTTTGAAACTGCTACGTGGCACGTTTTGGGCCCGCCTGTTTTGCCATGGTACCTCCCTAGGCCTTACAGCTGATTCCATTCGGCTTCGAAACTGCCACGTGGCACGTTTTGGGCACCCTGTACAAGTCTCAAAAACCCCCACACCTGCTTTGCCATGGTACATCCTGAGGCCCCACAGGCTGTTTCTATTGGGCTTCGAAACTGCCACGTGGCACGTTTTGGGCACCCCTTAAGGCTTCAAAACACCCGCAGCAGCTTTTGAAGGCCTTTGAACCGCAAAACCATCCGCAGCAGCTTGCGTTGAAGGCGTCCCGCCTGCTTTGCCATGGTACGTCCCGAGGCCCCACAAGCTGTTTCTAGTGGGCTTCGAAACTGCCACGTGGCACCTTTTGGGCACCCCTTAAAAGCCTCAAAACCCCCGCAGCAGCTTTCGAAGGCCTTTGAACCGCAAAACCCTCCGCAGCAGCTTGCGAAGGCGTCCTGCCTGCCGAGGCCCCACAAGCTGGTTCTATTGGGCTTCGAAACTGTCACGTGGCACGTTTTGTGCACCCCTTTGCCTCAAGCAGCCTTCGAAGGCGTCCCGCGTGCTTTGCCATGGTACCTCCCGAGGCCCCACAAGCTGTTTCTATTGGGCTTCGAAACTGCTACGTGGCACGTTTTGGGCACCCCTTAAAAGTTTCAAAACCCCCGCAGCAGCTTCCCAAAGCCTTTGAACCGCAAAACCCTCCGCAGCAGCTTGCGAAGGCGTCCCGCCTGCTTTGCCATGGTACCTCCCTAGGCCTTACAAGCTGTTTCCATTGGGCTTCGAAACTGCCAGGTGGCACGTTTTGGTCACCCCTTAAAAGCTTCAAAACCACCGCAGCAGCTTTCGAAGGCCTTTGAACCGCAAAACCCTCCGCAGCAGCTTGCGTTGAAGGTGTCCCGCCTGCTTTGCCATGGGACCTCCCGAGGCCCCACAAGCTGTTTCTAGTGGGCCCCACAAGCTGTTTCTAGTGGGCTTCGAAACTGCCACGTGGCACCTTTTGGGCACCCCTTAAGGCCTCAAAACACCCGCAGCAGCTTTCGAAGGCCTTTGAACCGCAAAACCCTCCGCAGCAGCTTGCGAAGGCGTCCCGCCTGCTTTGCCATGGGACCTCCCTAGGCCCCACAAGCTGTTTCTATTGGGTTAGGCGCCCCTTAAAAGCCTCAAAACACACCCAGCAGCTTTCGAAGGCCTTTGAACCGCAAAACCCTCCGCAGCAGCTTGCGAAAGCGTCCCAAACTGCTGCGTGGCCCCTTTTTGGGCACCCCTTAAAAGTCCAAAACGCCCGCAGCAGCTTTCGAAGGCCTTTGAACCGCAAAACCCTCCGCAGCAGCTTGCGAAGGCGTCCCGCCTGCTTTGCCATGGGACCTCCCGAGGCCCCACAAGCTGTTTCTATTGGGCTTCGAAACTGCCACGTGGCACGTTTTTGGGCATCCCTTAAAAGCATCAAAACCCCCGCAGCAGCTTTCGAAGGCCTTTGAACCGCAAAACCCTCCGCAGCAGCTTGCGTTGAAGGTGTCCCGCCTGCTTTGCCATGGGACCTCCCTAGGCCCCACAAGCTGTTTCTATGTACAGTCTATGCGCGTTCCTTCCTCCCCCCTGCAAGGGGGTCGGTGGCACCAGGGCGTTAGCCCATTTATATATATATATATATACTTATATACTATTCATGAGGTGAACATAAACCAACATGTGTGAATAACCAAAGATATATTTGGAAAATCCCAACATTAATATGGAGGTTTCCTGAAATAGGGGTACCCCTAGTTATCATCCATCTTAGATTAGGATTTTCCATGATTTATATACCATCCAGCGATAAAGGGGAACCCCCATGACTATGGAAACCCCCATATCCATAGATGCTGTTTCCCAATATCTCAACCATGTTTTTCGAAACCAATGGACCAAGGTCCCAGACTTGTTGCGATCACCCTGCGAACAGGGCAGTGGGGCAGCGTTCCCATAGAGGTTCCCAGGAACAGACGGGAACCTAACGGCCATCCAATAGGGAAGATGATCTGCGTTCCATGCGTTACACAAAAATGGAGGGTCATTGGTTATTCAATCTTATCCAATTGGTAGCGGATTTTTGGGTCTTTTGCCAGTTTTGTACTACTTGGGATATTTCGTTGTCGCTTGGTTGGATAATGATCATTCCGAAGCATCCCTTAACAGTTACATCATTCTACATCATGGATTTCGATCAACAAATCCTGATGATGACTGGTTGGTCGTTAGAATGTTAGTCTAGTTGGAATTTTGGTCAATTTGAATCATCATTCCTGACTGTTTGAGAATTGCGTATGTGATCGTATGTGATTATGTAGTATATAGTTTTACAGGGCAAACCAGTAACGGTTATTCCATCAAGAACTGTTGGTTGGAAGATCCCCACATGTGTCAAACGATGAAGCAGTCCGTTGGACAGCAAGATGATCTGGTTGCCAATGCTACAGCTGGAGAATAATCCCCAGTGATCGTTCCTTTTTTTTGCACAACATGCTCGACCTTCAGTTCGGGGTCATCCAGGGCTTCCATAGCTATATCAAATTATGCGTATGGTAAATGGGATGATAATCTAAGCACTTGGACCCAGGACCATGATGGATCTTTCACGTGTTTCACCACCAAAAATGTGCTAAGAAGCAACGGAAAAATTTGAATGCAGTACACCTGAAATACACCCTCCGCCATATGGCAAACAAAATATCATTGGTAAATGGAGCCATATTCAACATTGGTAAGAATCGGGAAACACTGCATAGCCCGATCCCCAATTTAACATAGCTATGGAAAATCCCATGTTTAAGCTCGGTAAAGCTTTCCTTACTAAATCATCTAAATGACGGCATCACCTCTACACTGTTCAGATAAGATCTCAGCCCAAAAAGCCTCCACCAACCCCAGCTACTGGCTAATAACATGATCTCCCTACGGCATACACGCAATTCTTCATTCTTTATCGCCCATCCCACCTTCCTATCGAGAATCTGAAACCATCTCATTTCAGGGGACAAAATGACCCCATAGCCATTTACTAAATCTATGGAATCCCACTGACACTGGGCCCATTTATAGATGCTTCACCTCTTCGAAATTGTGATATTTTTCATAGCCATGAGAGTTTACTGGAGGATAAACCCAATTCAGGGACGTCTTTTGCCGCATAGCTCTGGATTGTTCACAAGAAATCACCAGAGTCCCAGCCGCCACTTTGGGGATCATTCCATTGATATTCACCATCCCCAATCCTTAACATTTATGGTGAGGTCGGCCAGAGGTTAGAAAATGGTGCCCAGGCTGAGCTACATAAGTCCAGGATCACCATTTACTTTTCCAATAAAAACATGCACTGGTCTATAACAGATACTATTTGCTAATGCTAATATGTTAAATCCCATGTGTATCCTAATACTACTAACATGTATGTATATATATATACATATAATAGATAGATAGATATGGTTGCCCTACTATATAGTATACCTGGTTGATCATAGATACATCAAGTCTATCAAGTGTATACTATAGTCAATACTGGATGATTACTATTCTACTATCCGGTAGGTTTTGCATATACTATCTAGTTGAAGTCAGGTTATCCAGTTACCAGTTGCCAACTATATAGTTGTAACCAGTTATTCTATCATCAACCTACTGTGGTTTTCCTACTATAAGCAGTTATACTACAATCGGTCATCCTACTATATTAATAATCCCCAAAAACCAGGTCGTATAAATTCCCATACTAAATTTTTAAAACGGGTATTTCGAATGGCTCATTTCAACCAGTCAAAAATTCCCTCTGGCTGATTACCATTTTACTATCTGATTGAAATATGCTACCTGGTTGAAGTCAGGTGATGCTACTATCAACTATATACATCTATATACATCCATATACATCTATATCTATATACCATCAGGTGATCCTAATATACTATCTGGTTGATATATCTATATACTATCTGGTTGATATATCCGGTTGATATATCTATATATAGATCCTAAAAGTATACTATCTGGTTGATATATCTGGTTGATATATCTATATATAGATCCTAAAAGTATACTATCTGGTTGATATATTAGGTTAATATATTCGATCCCAGTTTTTTGGGGACAAACAACAACCAGTCCACCCGCCTCAACCCGAACTTCGCGGCCCAAAAGCCCAGGAGGAACAGCACCAGGGCAGCGATCTGGGTCCGTTGGCCGGAAAAAGTGTCGAAGCGTAGCGGTAGAGATCGGTAGAAATGATGGGTTTGGTTCCCAATGAAAGGGAACAGATTATTAATGATGTTTTGGTTTCTTGTTTGTTTCCCAAAATGTCCGTAAGTTTCCATTAAAGTCCAAGAATGAAGGGAAGCATAAAAACACAATTGTTCTAAGGATGGTAGAAGAATTTTAGAGTGCGAAGAAAGTTGGCAGTGGAATTTCACATTTGGACATTGAGCCGTTTGGTGGTCGATCTGCTTCGATTGTTTTGACTTAGAATTGTGCCGGATTGCCATACCCAGGATCAGCCATACATCCCGCGAAAACAGGCAAGCTGTGAATGTGAATTTTACCCAATAGTAAGCCCCCAATTCTGAAAATGTTCCGTAAAAAAAAAAGTTTTTGGGCCATATCCAAACACATGAAAAATGAATTTTGCGCCATATCCAAATTGGGGGTATTTGATCGCACCACATGACTGGATCCAACAAAAATCATCAGATCCTCCCCAGAGAACCCCATGAGCTCCCGTTGGGTCCCTGCCCAAGGGCTCCCCCAAGCTGAGGCCAGGGTTTGAATGAGGGCTTCCAACATAGGGTTTCAGTGGACCACCGTCATATTTGGTATCGAACCACCCATGTTGGGGGGCTGCGGCTTTGAAAACCATCCAATTATATAGTTGGTTTAGCATATACCAAACCCGTCCGTGCAAATGGTTTGGTATCTAACGATTCATGTTTATGGGAAAGTGATCCACCCATTCATATTTTTTCCCAGCAGGAAACGACGCCGATCTGAGATACCAGTTTTTCAGCTAGTTTGGTCTATATATTGCCATGTTTAAAATATATTATATTCGAGGATTAAACTAAGCAGCAAGAAAAAATGGCACCGTAAGTAATGTATCAACGAAATAGGTCTTCAAAAACTAAATATATAGTACTGTTTATCAACCCTTCCAGCCTTAATCAACTTCTTACGAGCACCACCAGCAGAACCCTAAGTTCCCAGCCGCACAGAGGATCGTGTAGGGCAGGAAGTAGTACCAAGCCACCTTGGCACTTAAGGATCTGGAGATGGTATTGTTACGCGCAAACACCCCGATTCGCACACACCCCTTCTATGCTGTACGGATATCAAACGTTAGACTTTACATTCAATTGGGAAGATCAACAAGGGTATTTAAGGAATATAAATTTCCCACCCCCGTTAAACTTTACATTCATTGAAGATCTTCAATAAGGGTTTAATTCTCCAACCCCCGTTAAACTTCTACATTCATTGAATATCTTCAAAAAGGGTTTAATTCTCCCACCCCCGTTAAACGTCTACGTTCATTGAAGATCTTCAATAAGGGTTTAATTCTCCCACCCCCGTTAAACTTCTACATTCATTGAAGATCTTCAATGAGGGTTTAATTCTCCCACCCCCGTTAAACTTCTACATTCATTGAAGATCTTCAATGAGGGTTTAATTCTCCCACCCCGGTTAAACTTCTACATTCATTGAAGATCTTCAATAAGGGTTTAATTCTCCTACCCCCGTTAAACTTCTACTAAGGGTTTAATTCTCCCACCCCCGTTAAACTTCTACATTCATTGAAGATCTTCAAAAAGGGTTTAATTCTCCCACCCCCGTTAAACTTCTACATTCATTGAAGATCTTCAATAAGGGTTGAATTCTCCCACCCCCGTTAAACTTCTACATTCATTGAAGATCTTCAATGAGGGTTTAATTCTCCCACCCCCGTTAAACTTCTACATTCATTGAAGATCTTCAATAAGGGTTTAATTCTCCTACCCCCGTTAAACTTCTACATTCATTGAAGATCTTCACTAAGGGTTTAATTCTCCCACCCCCGTTAACTTCTACATTCATTGAAGATCTTCAATAAGGGTTTAATTCTCCCACCCCCGTTAAACTTCTACATTCATTGAAGATCTTCAATAAGGGTTTGATGATGATGATGATGATGATGATGTGTAAGAGACTCGCACAGGTCCCTATGCTGTGCGTGCCGATATAGAACATGAAGTTAGCCATGATGGTACGAAGATGGCCGCCGACAAGCGCGGGCAAATCGAGGTGTTTGGCGGTATTGTTACCCTCAGTCAAACCATTATAAGGGAAGGTTTAGTGGGAAAATCACCTGTGAATGGATATAATGGGAGATGTTCCATTGCCATGTTTGACTACCGGAGGGTATAAACATTCGGGGTATCATCTTAGGAAGCTCACTTCATATCCGCAACAAATTCCTGAAACTCTCAGTGTTCAAACGGACTTTCTGTCTCCGCAATTTCCTTGTGCTTAACTCCCAACTCATATCATATCTCCAGCCGACGGCCCTCCCGACCATGCTTTCCCCTTACACAATGAATCAGGGGGCCCTGCTCCAATGTTGGGGGGGGTCTCCGATCAGCCGAGACACATAGGAGCAGTACTGCAGGTAGAAGTGAAAGCCAAAGCCGCAAACAGCTGGCGGCGTAGCTGGGACGTTGGTGGATTCGAAGCCGAGCACCCAACTTGCCCCTTGAAAATCAAGGGATATATCAAGGGACCACTTACCACTTTGCCCTATCTTGAGCATCCTGGACATTGTCACCCCTCAATCAGTGATTTGGCGTAAGGGAAAATCTGTGGGAAACCAAGGATTTTACAGCAAATTTAGGGTTTCCTGAAGATTTTCCCACTATCTTGGATTCAAGGTCTAGAGGAGCAGTTCGTTCTACTCCGAAGTGGGGGGTGCATACGAAGTTGTTCAATCCAAAGTGATGAAGTTTTTTTCTGGATTCCAAGAAAATCGAGAATGTTGTTATGCACCTGCTTTCCCTTTCTTGTTGGTTACATCCCCACGTCCCCCTTTCCTTGATGATTTAAAACCTATGGTAACCCCCACTTTGTTACATCCAGACTCTAGTCAATTTTTATTTCATTTGTGGTGGATCCATTTGACTCTGCATCACCCTCCTTCGCAGCCATCCTCCATGTGTCTTCATGGTCTGCTCCATGTGTGCTGGTTGAACCACACAAGTGTTGCCAAATTTCCGTCGTCATCCAAAAAAGAACATTGGAAGGAAAAACGGTTTTCATCCAAAAAAAGTTTAAAAACACATTTTCATCCAAATATAATATAATATAATATAATATAATATATTTTAATATAATATAATATAATATAATATAACATAATATAATATAACATTATATAACATTATATTATATTATATCATATCATATTATATTATATTATATTATATTATTATATATTATATTATATTATACAATATTAAATAATATAAGATAAGATAATATAATATAATATACTACAATCTAATATAAAATAACATAATATGATATAATACTACATTATATTATATTATATTCTCTTATAATGTATTATATTATATTGTGTTATATTATATTTTTAATATAATATAACATAATATAATATAATATAATAATAATATACAATTTAATTTAATATAATATAATATAATAGAATATAATATTGTATGATATGATATATTATCATATAATATAAGATAACATAACATAACATAATATAACATAATATTATATAACATTATATAATATTATGTTATATTATATTATATTATATTACATAAATACTGTGTATATATATATATACATACGCGTTGGTCCACCCAAACCACCCGGACTTGCCCAAACGGCAAACGGCGGCACCTGCCACCACTGCAAAGAAGAAAGATGCCCAGCCGGAGATCAGAGCCAACAACCTCCCAGAAAAAGTGTCTATGGGGAAAGTGGATGATTTATTGGAGAAAAGGGTGGGCACCACCTTCTTCAGAAATGCAAATTGGATGGTCTGTGCACATAATCCAATGAAACGCAAACGATTAAGAGGTAACAGTATGGCAGGAAATTAATTCGAAGAAAACTCTGGGATGTCACTGGTGAACTTGGAACAGTTCTTAACAAATCGGAGATTTATACCAACGACCTTGAGAAAATAATCAATACGATCGGTGGAATTGAGCAAAAGAAAACAAGAACAAAGCAGAATAAATCGTGTAACCAAATTGGTCCTAGGGCCGTTGCAAATTGTAGATGCCCGCAAAAATGGAATAGTCTACAATTTGTAAGCAACATTCCATTGAAATGACTCAAAACATCTCAAAACCAACCATTTCTTGGTTTTACCAAGGTTTGACCATCAACTCTCACCAAAGAATGGTGCGTTCCATGTGCATTTGGTCACAAAGGCAAACCTCCCTGACGTGCAGCAAAAATGTGTGAGATTTAGAAGAATGAAAATCATGCAACTTTGGCCACTGAAAACCAACATGAACAGGCCACGTACCTGTGGGATGTTCCTCTGGAAATGGGGACCATGTTTGCCTGCTTTTATGTTTTGAACTTGTTTTTCAAATTCGAACCCAAAAAAATGTCGTTTGTATTTATCCCAAGCCTTGTTTGGATCTGCTTTAAAATGTTTGGATTCCGTTTGGATCAAATTGAGCAAACCATCCAACCCACTGCAGCGATGTTTGGGAAATGCGGTGGGCCCCCACGTGGATTTTCTAGGCCAAGGTCGGCCGATCCTGCCACAATGGTTGATGCGTGTGGTGGGATGACATGTTTCTTTTAAAAACAAGTTACATCTCTGGCCCATCAAAAGTCCGTTGATTTTTTGGTTCGGAGACATTCATCTACACGTGGGCATAGACATGCATCCACCAATCCTGCTCACAGGCTCTTCCTGGGCCTACTGAATTTGTAAGAGTCAGGGCAGTGAAAACTAAACCAAGTAGAACAAATCAAAACTGCCTCAGAAATGTGTTCTGGGCATGAAACAAGCACATAGAGGGGCGCAGAAATGCCCGTTCGGAGTGGTGTCCTGCGCCAAACGTACCTGGCAGAACGCGCCAGCACTTGACGCCACGGAGGCCCCTGTCCAACCCCAAGGCGTCCTCCTACCAGGATCCGAGCATCCACGTTTCCTACTGCCATGCCCGCTCTAAACTGCCAACTCTGATCCGTAGGATGTTCACCGATATTTCAGATTTGAGGGTGCCCTTGAAGCCGCAACTGTCCAAGACCTGAAACCCTGATCATCTAGAGAGCGGCAAGGCGCAATGTTTTCTGCATCGGCGATTCCGTCCGGCAGGCTTGGATAAATTTCTGTATTTTTGTGGTCTTCCTTATCAGGTCATGGCCCTCCTTTCGCATATGCGAGGGACAAGTTGGAACAAGTTGCTGATTGCTGGTTTCAACCCATCGCCAAACATATGGGTTTCAAAATTAAAGACATCCACTGTTAGGGGTACCAAATTTTGACCCATAACCACAGAAAAATTCAAGTGGAACAATCACCCCATCCTTTAGGCAGAAAAAGGCATGCTGAACCATTGACAAAAGTAAACTCACCTCGGGGTCATGCAGGACAAGCACGATTTCAGCCTGTCATCACGAGTGCACCTCATCTAGATCACTGGAGGGCACTACTTAGGACTCCGGTTGCGACAACCGATGTTGACATGGCTTAGGTTCAAAACACCACTGACATCCGTTTTTGCTGTGAAACACAGGGATGGTCGGAAGTTTACATTCCTTGGAACATTCAGATGGGGCTGTCATTGCCGTGCATGGGGTGGTGCCATCGGCGTTGACAGGCACTGGAAAATATTGAAAGTTGCCGATTGAACTGAAAGGTGTTAAAAAGAAGAGCAAACACATACACGTTAGTCACTTTGTCAGCCACCTATAGATATACGTAAATATGCAGATATGTATATACATATATATATATATGCACATACGGTTTTTCTGCACATGGGGTGCCCCCAAATCCGCTATATATTTTTAATCATCATGTTCCCCATCAAAAACGCTATTTGTGGCATGGGCCACATTTTCAGACATACCAATGTTTTGCGGGAGGGAAGTATAATGCACCGAAATATGGGCATTCACGGGTATGTATGGCACCAATATTTAGCATCATTTACCCATGTATTTCAGATATACCCATATTATTGGCAGTTATGTTCTATATATATTATATATATAGAGATTTAGATATAGGTATAGAATTCATTACTCACTATTCTTGCCGGCTACCCTCTAGTAAACTAACATAGCTATGGGAAATTACAATTTTCACAATGTAGGTCAAGTAAAAGTTGCCATTGAAACAATAGCAACCTCTTAAAATTACCAGAGGGTAACCCATTTCATGGTTCATTGGTATAAACCCTGTGTCTTTTGTTCTTCGGATCCCCATCATCATGTAGCTTCACACATCCCCCTGTGGCAAAACCGGCCAACAAGGCCTGAAACTCTCACCACATACAGGGCCGCCAATTGGGAAGCACAAAATGAAATAACATTGGATTCTTACAATCGTATATATATATATGTATATTTATACATATATATATACACACATATATATATATTGGGGACTGCCTTGGCCTCTTTGTCTGTGGAGGCTAGGAGCTACTTCTTAAATAAACCCAATTTGCCGAAAATATTTCCTAAACAAATCTAAATTTGGGAAACTTTTTAACTTTTAAGCAATATGGCAATATCCAATAAGGTGTAAATAGAATTTAAAAAAAAAACAACAATAATGTAAGTTTGGCTTCTAGGGATTGGTTTGAAACGCTTTGGAACGGTTTCGGACTACAACCTAGTAAGTAGTATGAAACGGTTTAAAACGGTTTCAGGCTATGTGCTAGTTAGCCATACTTAGAAACTATGCGAAACTATTTGAAACTTTTTGAGTTTTTTGCCAGAGCGAAGTAGCAAGTAGCAGGAAACGGTTTGAAACGGTTTCGAAAGCAGTCGGAAAAGGTTTGAAACGGTTTCTGTGATACCCTTATTCTGCTTGAAATCATCAAACAGAACAATATACTAACAATGATAAATAAAACTCAAGTTGACAAATATAGACATAGATGATGATATAGTATGAAAAACTGTTTACAGATTGAAAAGCAAGAGAGTAACAGCGCCTGATTCTGAGATGAGGAGTCAATGAACATGGAACGAAAGAGAATGAACAACGCCTGCACCAACAGCCTGGCAGCCTCTCTCCCTTGGTGAGAACATGGTTCACTTGTGCGGGGTAATCTCTGCACTTCAAGTGATTGACAGCTATCCTTGTCCAATGGTTGGGATTGGTAAAAGCAAACCTTGTTTTGCAAATAGTTTCTGGGTTTGGAGCCCAGATCAAGAAATAGTTTCTAGGATTTAAGCAATAGTTTCTGGGATTTAAGAAATCGTTTCTAGGATTTATAGGAAATAATTAGCTTCTATGATTTCTAGGATTTAAGCAATAGTTTCCTTTCATATTTACATCTTACGAGGGTTAAGCTGGGCTCCCCCTACAGAGCCAGACCGATAGAGAAAAGTTCAAGCCCGCACCAGTCCCGACTTTTGGGGGAAATCCCTGACTTGGGTACGCTCTCAGGTGTCAAAAATGCCGTGTGGCAAAACCCGACTAACAACATCCCCCAACTCACCCGCAAAGGCTATCAGCCAAGTGGGTTTTGTTGGGAACATATTTTTGGGGTCCCAGAACTTGTGGGTATCGTGTGTTGTATGTCGCATTTGGCACAAAGTGCATTGGGCACAGAGTATGCCATGCTTTTGTTGCTGTTTGATACACCCTTTCCTGGCTTCATAAAGCATTGCAACTGGTATGGTGTGATAGTACTCCCAGTTGGATTCTAGATGGTTTCAAGTTTCAAGCCTAAACAATTTCACTGTGCTGAACCACGGGTGAAGGAGCCGCTAGGACTATTGAACTGCTATGTGGGGTAAGACATTCGTTCTTTCTCACCACCAACTACTATTGGCAAATGACTGTTCCAAGATTGAATAGGTTTACCCTGATAACATGGTCCAAAACAGCTTTTACTTGCAACTATTACCCTTTGATTTACGTAATGGTTCCTGGTAAATCAACATGATTTAGCACATGGTTTCTACATTTTCTACTTTGCTTAGCAACGTGTTTTACAAATATATATCCTACTTATCTAGCAAATGGTTTTTTGTATTTAGCAAATGGTTTCTAGCATTTAGCAAATGGTTTCTAGTATTTAGCAAATGGTTTCTACCTGTGCAAGAAATAGTTTCTGGATTTTACAGAAAATTGCAAATAAAGAAGCCAACGCACTTCACAATATATATATATATACATATATATATATATCATGTGGAAATGGTACATGATGATCTATCCTGTACTGAAGCATGGATCTTTGGGGTACTTATACTCTAGGCGTTGGACTTTTTTGCGGTGTCAAAAAGTTAAACCAAAACGTTGCGCGTTACACCACTGCGATTCGTTGGGGTCGTGATGGACCTGGTGAAAATTGTGAAAAGCCCCGAAGGAATGGATTTTTTTTGTATCTAATGGTCATGAGTACCATGAGTTTTAATGACTTTTACTGGGAAGTTCTGGTAGCTTATGTTAATGGAAAGCTCTGGCAATATGCAAAGTGATTTATATCATGGTTTCATGATTCACGATCAATGTAGATCTAACATGACTACATAAACTATGGAAAATCCCCATGTTTCACTTCGGTACATCATTTCTCACTAAAGGGACCATGGCTTCCATAGCTGGTGCCTTTTCCGCAGGACTATCATCTACTAGCGGTCTCCTCCAAGCATCCCAAGCCAGCGTCCAACCATGAAATTAGACGCTGGGGAGACAAAGTTGAAAGCTGGCAATGAAGCATCACCCATTTACCAAGCACTGTTGACATGAGTGTGATGGATTCTGTAGCCCAACAAATCAGCTTTGGGTCCACCCAGCCACCAAGATTAGTGAAATGAACCAGGTCCTGTCAACCATCCATAATAATATATATATATATATCATCCATTTACATCCATTGAGTTTGATGACGAGTTTCCAACCAACCAGGTTTATCAGGTTTGACTGCCTGGGGGCAAAATTATTCAACATCCGTGTCATCTATGGCATAAATCATAGCCATGTCTACTCTCCATTTATATGCCATCCATGTCTACTCTAGTAGACCATAGTAAACCATATATCAACCATCTATACTATGGTCTACTCATGTCTACTCTCCAGTCATCAAACATGGCTGGAAAATCCTTCATCTATACATGATTTTCCCATCAAAACATCCATTGCGGGGATTTCCCCTTGGTGATCAAACCACCAACCACCAACCCGGCAATTCCAAATGGAAGGGTGAAAATCGCGCTTGGCAAATCAACACGGAAATCACACAAATCGACACAAATGGGTGATTGTCCTATCTATTGTGGTCCGTTCTGATTTATGGAGGCAATTACGAACTGAACTCCATCCCAACTCTTCCTACTCTTATTGGTATTTGATACCCCAGTGATGGTTTATCCCCTGTCATGGGTTTCTTAATCCCCCAAAAATCAACGATATATAATGTGAAATAATGGGAAAAAAAGATCCACTCCAGCCTTTAGAAACATTCTTATCATTGGTTTGTCAATGACAAGATTGATGGTTCCACTAACAGCTTGGATGATGGTCATCAACGCTGGTTCTGTATTGGATCATCTCACAAATGGCCCCAAATGATGGAGAAAATTGTGCTTAGTAAGAGGAATTGTAAATCAGCTATAGATAAGGGTAACCGCAGGAATTGAGGACTTGCGCAATCAACACAAGGTTTTTCACCATAGAAAGGGGTTTGAAAGGATGAATTCGCATTGGAATTGTGATATCACCAGAATGATGTTCATCACTAATCAACATATAATATACCAGTACGTCCAACCCCATTATCACGGGATATGTATAAGCCCAATATTCTATATAAAATCAATTGTAACTAAATATAACCCAGCAATATGTCCGATATTCATAGAAACGGCTGAAAT